CGAGCATCGAAGCGTGCATCAGTATGCCTGGGACAAGGAAGCCTGTGCGCGGAACTCGAAGTCAACAATCGGTTTGACAACTGTATCGTCTGACTTACGAGGACGTTTGCGTTAAGAGTGTCGCAGAGCTGTTAACCGATCATCACCTTGTTGTTGACACCAGTCGCAGTAAATGATGGAATACCACGCCAAGTCCTACCAGCAGAAAACCAAAGAATCGAATGGAAAGAGATACATTCTGAGGATACGAGGGCAAAACTTGCCAACGACATCGCACGACCATTTAAGCGGATTCGAATGATGACTGCTTACGTAAAAACGAAGTAGAAGCTCTTTAAGGGCGGCTTAGCCTGGACTTCCGCTAAATGTTGTGGTTTAAAGCGAATCGACGAGATCAGAAACGAACTTCCTGGTGAACACAAGAAATTCTGGTTGTCAGAGGGAAGAAGGTTGTATTGAAAGGATTGTTGGAAGCAAAGAACCTTCTTGTCGGATGCGGTACGAAAAGCCGGAAGCCGATTCATTAGAAAAATTCTGTGAAGTGTTGGAATCGAATATCTGAGCAAGTTCTGGCGCCTTCTTCCCAAAGATGTAAACATACTTCGACGATGGAAAGAGTACCTTAAACAATTGCAGAAAGACTCGCCTGAACAGCATTAAGCAAGGGATACTAGTCTTCCAGTATATAAAGTTACAGAAGCCGTAAAACGCTTGAAAAGTGATAAGGTTGCTGGAATCGACGAAATCTGTCTTCAAATCCTTAAAGGTTCAGCCGCACAAGGCATATGCTGGTTTACACATGTCAGTCAAACTGCAATGGCTTTGGGGAAAACAATAATGGATCGTAGAACGGGGTTGCTGCATCCTGTTCAAGAAGGGAGATCACAGGAATTGTTCCAATAATAAGAACATTGCCTCATTGAACCTTCAGGGAAAGTCTAGGCAAACGTATTAGGAAAGTTGAGCCACGGAATAATTCACTCCAAGATCCTAGGGATACAGTCTGGCTACAAGCAAGGACAGAGCACCTCTGGCCTGATCTCCGCCTTACGCCATATTGTTGAGTATATGCAAATGTTCGCTCACACAGTTTGCATGTGTTCCTAAGACTTTAAAACGCCTATGATCAGACCTCGCACAGCAGACTGTAGGCCTGCCTGCGTACGCATCGGATCGATGACTAGTTGCTATGAGTGGTTCAGTCACTATATGATGACAGCAGGTGCTCAGTCAGAGTGAATGGCGCTAAGTCAAAGTCATTCAATGCGAATCGAGACCTCTCAGCGTTGGCACTGATCTCCGCAAAGACTTCGTCCTGTCCCCTCTCCTGTTTGCGTTGTACATGGATAGAACAGTGAAGTGCAGCCAGGGTGAAGTGTGCATTTGTGTAGGATATATAGGGACGAGAAGTTTGCTGTCTGCAGGCGACCTTGTTTTTAGTATCTAAAGATAAACAGAGAAACAGTGGAACAGATGGCGAAAGTCACGTATCTTTGGGTGGTGTCTGCTGGT